GTCACAGTACTATCGAGAGCTCCACACATATAATCCCGGCGGCTTTAATCTTTCGCGCGCATAGGATGTTAATTTAGAGGAACTGTAGATTGCTGCGTTGGAACTGTGCTTGGGATGGATTACTAACACTTCACTGCGCCTTTGAAAAAAAATTTTTAAAATTTAAAGACTAGATTGAATTTTTTATGTCTTGCCAGTCGTTGTAAGCAGAAATTCGAAAACGTATGATAGCCGAGTTTGGGCGGTATGGAATTATCCCGACTTATGCCGCTTGAGGGCGCTATACTAATTGGAATGGAAAAAACTATTTAATTTATCGGAAAACATATATTCTCCTATAAAAGATTTCAAAACTGAGTTCATTGAAGTCCAAAAAATGAATGATGGCATAGAACTAACAGCTTTATGATATTGTTTCGTAGTGCTTTTTGTAGCCGAATCCAGAATTATCAGCAACACGCAATCAGCTTCGACAGAAACTTGCCAAATGTGATATGCGAGCCTTTGCAACTCTCATCATTGATGTTCTCAACGAAGCTAAGCGAAGGTAAAAAATTCGTGCGTTTTGCACTTCCTGCTTTTTTGCTTATCTTAGGGTTATAACATTTTTTAGGGGAGAGCATTTTCGGGTTCTTTGGCAAAATTTTGTGTCTTTTTTTGCCACCGTTAATTAGATTTCTCAGTTGGCATGTAATTCGCTTGGTGTTGTTTTTAGGGCCATCTTTTCTGCTCTTTGAACATGAACTTTATGATATGCGAGGGAGAATCAAAAATTATTCACACCTTCGCCGTGGTTTAGGTTTGGTTGGCAGAATTACCGTCAGGGTTTTTCTTTGGGGATGTGAGACCTGGATCATTTTAAGCCCAATCGAAACACGAAAGTATGTATTAGCAGTGGCCGGAAAGGCAGTGAAGAAATTCAGTGCTCAGCTACCTGCGTGAAACCTGATACCAGTCATGTTTTGAGATTGTAAGAACCAGTACTGGAAAATCTTTAAAAATGCCTACTACTAGATCGGTTTATTGTGGGTGAAAAAGTTCAGGGAATAATGATACGCAAATGACTGTGCGAACCAGTCAGAAATTTTTTTTCGAAGATATAAGCACTTCCGTGTATTGCTGGAGAAAATGCATCAAAAGGCAAAGAGCCTCTGTAGAATCATTGGCAACGCGCACCAGGCGGACCGGTGCGATCATACGTATTTGCACTAAGATCGTAAGGAATTTCAGTAGCTAGAATTTGTGACATACCGGCCGTCGAAGTTCAGGAAGTTAATTGTGCAGCTATGTGGTGTGTCGGTTACACATGTCGGCTTCGGTGACGCA